CGTCGAAACGTTCCTTATTTTGATATACAATACGATGACCTTGTGGCACACCCAATCGATACAGTTCGGCGTCTTTACACCCATTTTGGTCTTGCATGGTCCGAAGAGTTTGAAAGGGCTATGGCTGTATGGCTACGTGATAATCCTCAGGGCAAGCAAGGTCGCAATTCCTACACGCTAAGCGATTATGGAATAACACTTGATGAGATTGAGAAACGTTATAAGGACTATATCAGTATGTTTCTTAATTCTCAATATTCTTCCAATGATACTTGTAGCATGACGAAAAGTCAAGCTCAGTAATCAACTCTATGGAATTGTCATCAAATGGGTAGATTATAGATTAATGCAAGAACCATTAGATCAACTATAGTTATTTAGCTGAAACCTATTTTTCGCATGCACTTCAATCCTAGACTACTACAAATAAACAATGTTTATTTTTCTGTTCATGTCGCCAAGAGAAGACATTTTTTAAAATTATGTTTACATTAATCACTGACTTGAGAAAGTCGGCCAAGTATCATCAGAACAGTCTGTCGTCAATGGCCTGAGGTATGAGTGCGTGTAAGCCTTGGCTTCATCCACACTAACATCTCACACTATATGAAAAAGTGTTTTTAATAGAGAAGTTGTGAAAACATGGTTAGCCAATCTTTGGGCAGACCATTCGTCGCAAAGGCAAAGAATCAGATAATATGATCGATTTGTTTCTGCAGAATTGTACAAGTCACCAGTAGATCGCAATCAGTTTCCAAGTCATCTTCTAAAAAAATGATGCAAATAATCAATCTATTCTTTTATCAATAATGCAAGAAATATGGCCACTAACGGCTTAATCGAAGTTGGTCTTCCGAATACCGCTTTATGACTGATAGTTTGAAATGTTGATCGCCTAACCTTTGTGGAACGGGCAAATCTAGGCGACCAGCAACAAAACGCGATAATGTATTTTCATCTGATATTAGTAATTTTAGACTATTTGAAACCATATTATTCATCGAATCATTCACTCGGACACGTTCTAGGAAAGAAAAAGGAAAGGTTCCTTCATTCAAATTCTTATCGAACAGAGTCTATGTCTGTCATTTTTCTAATTAAACAAGGCTTTCTAAAACCAAATTAAAATGAATTTATATGAAAGTAATTGTAAAAATGCCATGTCTAAGTGAGTTTGTTGATTAGTTTCGATGAAACCACTTATTCTAACTGATTATTTGTATGATTACAATCAGTCTGATTTGATCCTATCAATTTCAATCGATGCTACATTCTTTTTGATTTCATTCCAGCAGTGATCAAATTGCAAGAATGGATTCTCGTGGACTGGCTGAAAATTTTGCATGGCATCTAATCATTAAAATTCTTACAAATGTTCAAATAAGTATAAGATGCAAAATTTCTTGTGCCAATATAAACAAAAACTACCACTCAGCCATGTTCATATGATAATCTTTCAGGCTAGAATAGAGCGAATCGGGAACCGATGAACGTCACTTGTTTTTCTAGCATCAGTTATAATTATTAGTGGACTATGATCGCTGTTCTTCGAGATTCTTGATGTAGACTTTCAAGAAGATTTTTCTAAATTTTGTTTTTGATGACACCCCAATAAATCACTTAGAACTACAGTACGGACGAGGATCCGATCTATTTTAATTCAAATGGCAAGATATGAAGATGTTCGATTTGATTTCCTTTTTCCCATTCATGAAGTGCGAGTACCTGTTGAAGTCTATAAGTGTCGGATATCCTGTGGATGTGGGTGTGATTGTGCATGTGGGGATAGAGAAGATCAACACGCACCCACACCTACACACCCACAGTCACATCCAGAACCATATCATTCGTTTGAAATCTCAGCTTGATAAAACTAATTTGACGAAAACTAGAAATGGAAAGCATCTGATAGACTGAAATCCCAGACACAAAAAAAGATTCGATGCCTTCTATTAGTTTCTCGGAAACTCTTTTTTTTCCACCTTATTGGGAAGAGGGCATAATGAGCATAGAGAGCAATGCAGTGAGAGCCCACTAGCGGCACCGATATCGAGAAAGATGAGTCACATATATGTTAGCTTCCCATTTCACATTTTATTGATCAAAACTGTATTGATTGATGAAAAAAAGATTTTTCTATACTACCATTTGAGTTCCGAAAACCATCTGATTTTCGAAAGTTCAATTTCGATTTCGGAAAGTCATTGATGTTTCTGGAAACTTGTATAAGACATCAAATGCAAAAGAAAATGGATTGATCGAGAGTGGAACAGCGAAAGCAGCTGATTGGCTAGACTCTCAGCATCAGAAAACTTGATGGAAGAAAATTAGAAAGTAAAAAAAGCTTGATTGGACGAAAGCTAGATAGTAGAAACATCTAATTTAATGGCCCACCGATAAGAAAATCACGCAATTGGCTGAATTACCAACATAAAAAAAATCTAATTTCGAATAGCTGCTTCACAAATATATCTGTACACGTGACTTTACATGTGTAAGCAAACTCATCTTATATCATATGAGTCTACCTTCAGTCTGGGGAATGAACATTGTTTTACGTCAAATCTGATTCACGAAAAACTACACAAATTATGTTACACTCACTATCACTGTCATTGTGTCTTTTTTCAAATTAAAGAGACCGATACGCAGCTAACAGCAATGTTTATTATCACACATATGTGATGTGTAGCACCATCGTGGTGGTTCATGCAATGAATAAGAATGATTGTCTATAACATGTATCATTAATCCTGTAGCAATAATTGATGAGTTTGAATCGTTAGAATCTATGAGATCTTCATTTTGATGATTGATATGCCTTTTAATTATAACATTGCTTATATCAGAATCGATAATAGTGTTAGCAACACATAAGAGTTCTTTGTCTATATTCTTAATATTACTTAGAGATAAATACAACATTTGAATGCATATACTACAAAGCAAGAAGATAACAACAAAAAATTCTAATAATCTTATTTGTACCATAACTATATTATTTTTAGCAACAGTCGCACATCTCATATCGTTAGTTCTGGTATCAAACATACATTGATCAATCAGAAATCGTGTTAGCCATGCATCAAATACATCGTTCTGTACCAGCAAACGATTGGTCATTACAGAAAGTGCAAAAAAAAGCAAGCGAGAAAATTCTTTGACATCGTGTAGTGCAATATGGAGAATCGTTTTCAACTTCTTTCTAATCGTTTTTCGGGACACCAATGAAATATCAATCGATGCACAAACTCGTGGGCTACCAATCGACAACCTCATTCTATTTAGGCTAACGATCTCTTGTGCTCGAAACACAGAACAACTGACAAAAACCTTCGGAAGCAGTTAATTCAGCATTGTAAATCTATAACAGCTCTCACCTATTCGTTTTCTAGGCCATCAAATATATGTCATTCGATGCAGAATTGCCATGTTTATCAACTGACGAGGCTATTCTCTTTTGACAAATGCCAGACCGTACTAAAAACATGCAAATAATATATAGAACCCTAAAGGAACCTACGACTCACCATATCACATCCCTTTCAGTTCGATTGTCTTGGTTTGTCCAGACATGAAACATATATTAATCGATACAGAATTACTCTGGCTATCGACTGCTTATGTGATTCTCTCTCGGCAAACGAAGGCAGAATAGCTGGTAGAGATCTAGGAAGCATGATAGGAGTGTTTTTTTAAATTTTTGCTCGTTTTTGTCTGTTCTAAGTGCTATCGATTGTTTGCCAAGGGATAATTACATCATCAATTGATAGTCGAGGAGATTCTGCATCGATTTTGTTGTGTAACACTAGCCTTATTATTTCTCGTTTTTTCTAGTAAAAGTTGGATTGATAGAGGCAAAGCGTGGATTGTGTTTCGATTGGATATCTATATTTTGCGTCCTATTGGTGTTCGTGGTAGCATCACCTTAATACAAAGTTTGAGAGCTAGCGCCTTATCATTAGTGAAGTGTTTGCATTTGATTAGGCAACGAAGATGTGAATCATGATAAGATACGTGTTATTCTTATTAAATAGTATCAGAAGAAAAGTATAGGGTCGTCTTTTTGCTGTTAAAAGTCATACGACTTCTTGCTAAGTATTCATACTGTTTTGCTCATCATCCGTAACATTGTTTTTTGCATTTAATTTTATTGTTATCAAGTTTTCCTACGTGATTAAACGTAATATATGGTAACGATCGAATATCATATAGTTTGACAACGAATATTTTTTAAAAGAACTTTCCATAATTCTTTCCAAAAAAATGTTTTAAAGTGTTTAATTTTAGCACACAAAAAAGTGTAAAATAGATCTAATAATCCTTGAAAACATTTACTCATAGTATCGGATGTTAGTGATGAAACTGGTCTAGGCGTTTGAAGCCCGACGTTTATATGGGTTTCAGTAAATCAGATTGAACTATTGTATCGATTGATAGATCGGTTCAGCCGGTGTATTGACGGTCGATAACCTAAAATTTGTGCTATGCAATTTATAATGTAAATATGATGACTTTCCTTCATCTTTTATATAATTTGACTGATTTAAGTTCGAAAGACAGTTTAAATAAGGGCAGAAAAGAGATAGGTTCTATCAATTATTGGCAGCGATGGAGTTATATTGGCTGTTTCCTATAGAAAAACTCCAAAAATCGATGAAACTTGGATGCAGTATTTCAGACTAGAATATCTTGGGGTCTTTTCAATAATTTTCAGTGGTAAACGACCGGCATTCACCGAACAAATCTGAAGACACTCTAGTCCAAAATATTGCGTCCAAGTTTCATCGGCTTCTAGTTTTTCGACCAGATACAATGATGTTTCTGAATCTTTACGATCCATCCTAGCAAAATCTGCTTGTTTTCGCAGTCCGGAATCATCAATCTATGTACCAGTCTAAAACCTCTATCGATATGAGTTTTATCGCTGTGCGACGGGATGATCTAAGAACTGATATTACTATAGTAACAATGATTCATTTAGATAAGATAAACAAATAATGCAATATCAAAAGATTGGACATACTGATATTGAAATATCTCGTGTAATTCTTGGTTGTGGATGTTTTGGTGGTATTGGTTCGGCTCCATCATTATTTAATCAAGGAGAAAATGAAGAACAAGCACATGAAATTCTTGATGCTGCTGTACATCTTGGTATAACAACATTTGATACGGCTGATGCTTATGGAGGCGGTAGAAGTGAATTATATATAGGAAATTGGTTAAAAAAATGTGATGAAAAAGTTAGAAATAATATAGTGTTGAGTTCAAAAACCTATAATCCAATTTTTGTTGGCGATAGTAAGGGATTATCAAAAGAAAGAATATCAGAGAAAATTGATGGCACACTACAGCGTCTTGGAACAAAACAGTTGGATATGTATCTTTCGCATGAAATGGATGAAGAAACACCATTAGAAGAAACACTTAGTTGTTTTAATGAATTACAAAAATGTGGAAAAATACGTGCATTTGGTGCATCAAATATTACTTGTGAAGAATTAGAAAAAAGCATATCTATTTGTAATAATCTTGGTTTAAATAGATATGAATGGGTACAAAATCCAACGTCATTATTAAATTATCGAGAAGTTGAAAAAATGTTACAAATATGCTCAAGATATGGTCTAGGCTTTACTCCTTATAGTCCATTAGCTGGCGGATGGTTAACAGGAAAATATCAAAAAGGTCTCAATTATGAACTTGGTTCTCGAATGACATTACGACCTGAACCATATGAAATTTATGTTAAACATCAAGATAGTATATATGATGGGTTAAATTCAATGAGAAAAATTAGTAAAGAACGATTTGGTAATATAAGTATTGCCGGTTTAAGTTTAGCTTGGTTACTTAGTGATTCTCGAATAACAGGAATAATTATTGGACCTCGCAAACCAGAGCACTTGGAACCTATACGTGAAGCATTAAATACGCGTCTTAATGAAACTGATCGAATCGACTTAGCTAATTTATTTCCAGTATTGTAAACCGATATTGTTGTGTATGCCCATCGAATTTGAAGTTGATTTAATTTTCCATTTCAACTTCTAAGTATCCCTTCTTCAAAGAAAAATACTTATTATCAACGACTTTGGTGTGAAAAACAATGATATGTCACGATTTTTTAAAAATAAATGATGAAGAAGATTAATTGAATCTTTATCTACAAATTTGTTCTTATAAATACCACTTCTTAACAAACAGAATATCTTAAGACAGAGGCTATGTCCTGCCCTTCTTTTTCCGACGGTTATGAAGTATTGTGTAATATTATACGTACTTTACCACATTGTGTAACGGCAGAGTAAAAGGAACTTTTGAAAAGTTCATCACAGATCCCCTCAAATGCCAAGCAGCTCAAAGTATAGGCGTTGATATGGATGTGGGGTGTTGGTGTAAGCGTGGAAGTGAATGTAAAAAGAACAGCAATAATCTACCTCACTCCCTCCAAACAGACTCTTCCCACTACACCCACATCCAAAAAAAAATGCTTACACCATCTCGTGTTTTATTCATCGTTACTTAGTTTTGTTCTTGTTTATTTTCAATAAGCATAAGCAAAAAAAATATTACTCTCGATCAGTCTAGAAAAAGAGAAGTAAACCAATACAAAAAAATCACTGTTCTTTTATCTAAAAGTAACACAAAAAAAACACTAATACATATGTATCCCAGGCAAAACGATGTCATATACATCCTCGAGTAGACGCAATCTATGTCATATTATGTTCATGCTTCTCTTTGTAGTTCAGACGAACAGTGAATTCTTGGTTCTTTTTTCTCTAACAAATTACAGTCATCATTTGTCGTAAATTTCATTACCGATAATCGACTAACAATACTAGAAAAATATCCTTAGCTATTCTTCATTTCTGGTATACTCTAAATGAAATTATTTTGCTAAATAGATATATACTGTTCTTAACAAGGTATTGTACTGAGAATACTTTTCCTTTTTTTCTCCTCGTCAATACATTTGATGAAGTTAAGTTTTTAACCAAAAATTCAGTGCTGAATTCTCTATGAAAATCTATTAACTATTATATTCAACAATCTCAAGGCAATTCATAATTCATGATATCACTATTGACAGATAACTTTAACAAACCTTATGTAAGTCTATCTCAGTAACATCCAAATTAAATGAATCTTAGAAAAACTCTACCGTTAACAAAGACTATTAAATGACCCTCAAGCCTACTAGCATCTAGAACCTCTCTTCTGTTTCATGCAAGCACCACAACTTATCGTCACTCACATGCATAGTAACATTTTATCTACGCATTGATATATTATTGAAACAGCTTGTTAAGTATAATTTTCTATAAAATACACTTAAATTCAAAAAAAAGTCTAAAAATAAGAAAAAGTACATAAAAACAAGGAAAATAAATCTTAAAACATTGAGTAATATTCAGTTGAGTTATATAATAAGAATTTCATAGACTCTAATTGGATATTGTAATCGTATAAGAAAATAATAGTTGAATCTCTGGAATCCAGTTGGAAATAGATTCTGAGAGATTTCATTGAAAACAAAAAAACGCTTGGCGATGATAAGAAGCATCTCAAAATAGTTATTGAAATCCGATTATAATTGTTTTAACATCTGACTAATAACTAGTTTATATTGGATAAGATCAATTAAAAAAACTATAGATATTTGTTAATGCGTAGAAAAATGAATTGGAAACAAGTTGCAAGTGTAATTGTCTATTATACATAGGTGAAATTAATGAAAAGATTCTTAAATATTAATATCACGCACTTGTTATTTCATTAGAAATATCAAATAAAAGAATGAAAGACGAACATGAATTTATAGAACGACAAATATTATCAACACTTTTCAAAAATGAAAATTCTATTCAGAATAAAACAAATTGAATTTCTATTTTCAACAAAAGCAATATTTTCATTTCTAAAATGAACTAATAAATATCATATTGCAAAATCATCAACAGAAATATTAAAAGCACTATCATAATCAATCTGTTTAACTGATTGACATATAACAACTTCTGAAATAGAAAATATAATAAAACATCAACTAACTACGTAGAAAACTAGATATCCCTTTATGAATTAACAGATCTTCAACTGAGAATATGACAAGGATCTTAGTCAGACAATGTGTCTCGATAAATGAATTGATTTTTTATATTGTTCAAATTTTTTCAAAGAAAATATTGTCAGACAAATATTTACTATGACAATATGCTTGAAGTTTGGCAAACTATCTCCATCAAGAAAGGATACATATTGACGGTGGAAAGAAAAAATGAAAACGGCTACAGTAACGAACAACAACAAAAAATTCATTAATACGATACTTGTCTAATGAAATTTCTTAGTTAAATATTTGTTTTTTTCTTTAACGTTATTTTTTATATTTACCAATCGATTTACAATAGGACCTATTTTGAGATGCTTCTTCTTATCAATGTCAAACATTTTTTGTTTTCAATAAAATCTCTCAGAATCTATTTCCAACTGGATTTCAGAGATTCAACTATTATTTTCTTATACGATTACAATATCCAATTAGAGTTTAAGAAATTCTTTTTATATAACTCAACTGAATATTACTCAATGTTTTAAGATTTATTTACCTTGTTTTTATGCACTTTTTCTTATTTTTAGACTTTTTTTTTTTTGATTTAAGTGTATTTTATAGAAAATTATACTTAACAAGGTATTTCAATAATGTATCAATAAGTAAATAAAATGTTACTGTGCATGTTAGTGAAGATAAGTTGTGGTGCTTGCATAAAGTATAAGAGAGGTTCTGTATGTTGATCGAAGTGATCGTCGTTTGATGATCTTTGCTGACAGGATATTTTTTCCTAGGACTCGTACTCAATGACTGTTATTAGCATAGATTAAAAATAGTCCCAATCTTTTAATTAAAATTCTTTTTAATATAAACGATGAAGAGAGATTCAAAAAATGTCTCGATTTGTGAACGAAATCGCACATATGTTTTTTCTTTGATTACAATATTCTAAACAATCTTTCATGTTATAGTATTCTGTCTGAAGATTAAGCAATAAAATGGTTAATTGATTATTTATAGACAATTGAAATTAGAATATTTTAATGAAAATTTTGCTTGATCAAACATATCGAAGAAATGACAATTGTGAGAGTATGATTATTTGTTGAGCAGCCGTTATTTATTATCGTTATTTTTATTTTTCTTGTGTTTTATTTGATAATTTTATTTGGATTAGAGTCAAAACAGTAATGATATCTTCGTCGAATTTTCGATGTTTGTTATTATATTTTATATCTGGACAATTAAATCTATATTATATCAGAGCAGCTTGGCCATCGTCAAATTCTTCGAAGATTCAACTCTTAGGTCTTTTTGATAATGTATTCAATAGATCTGCATCTAGTGAATCATCTGTTCATATTCGAGCTATGTTTAAATCAGCTGTATTACTTTCTCAACAATATAATATAAAAATCGAAGAACAATTCATAGAATGGCAATCAGCAGAAACAACTGGTAATGTAATCGATGCTCTTAGCAAAACATGTCAAGCATTGTCGTATTCAAATATCGTTGGTATTATTGGTCCAGCTTTATCAAGAGAAGCTCATTTAGTAGCTGATTTCGGTAGAACAATTGGTATACCTGTTATATCATATAGTGTAACTGATCCTGATTTATCTAATCGAAATGTTCATCGAAATTTTTATCGTACGGTTCCTTCAGATAATTCAGCTGCATTAGCAATTGCTAAATTATTTTTTCGATTTAATTGGACATCATGTATACTTATTCATCAAAATGATGCATTTGGAACTGGAGGAGCAAAAATAATAAATGAAGTATTTATTAATAATAATTTAATTGTTGAACAATTAATTATATTTGATATATTGACACTTCGTATTCGAGGTGATTTAAAAAGTTATTTAATAAATAGTCCAACTCGAATAGTTATTTTATGGGCTCAATCAATTTATATAAATTCTATTTTAGAAAATGCTATTCAATATGATCTATTGGGTCCACAATTTACATGGATTTTAAGTTCAAGTATTTCATTAAAGAATTTTAATAGTACATTATATGAACAATTAATTGGATTATTTTCTATTGAACCTGTTACAGCAAGTATTGTTAATGTGCCAATAAATACAACATTATTAAATGCAGCATATCAAATTTGGCAACAATATGAACCAGAAACATTTCCTGGTTCAACAAATGTGAATTTTTATGCACTATTTGCATTTGATGCAACATGGGCATTAATTAAAGCATTAGAAACAGTTTGTTCAACAATTAAAAATAATTCTTATTCATGTTCATCTTTTATTGGATCTTCATTTTGTTTTCATCGACGTTTTGTTCATTCTGATTTATTATTAAATGCACTTTGTAGAGCCGATTTTCTTGGTGTATCTGGTCCTATTAAATTTAATTTTAATGTAACAGATCGAACTATTGGATCATATTATTATTTACAAAATGTTCAACCTTCTTCAAATGGTTTAAATTTTGTACCAGTATTAGAATATTCGGATACAACTGATTGGAAAACATTTAAACAGACCAATGTTTTTATTTGGCCAGGGAATTCATTAGAACCTCCTACTGGTCGAGCAATACTTAAAGGTGTTACTTTAAGAATTGGTGTTATTGAATCAATTCCATTTACAATAGTTACAAATATTATTGATGAGTTTGGACAGAGTACAACGAAATTAACTGGTTATGTACCTGATCTTATTGCAATATTAGCTGATAAAATTGGATTTACTCCAAATATTCAACTAGCACCATCAAATCAAACATATTCGGGATTAATTCAAGCAGTTGTCAATGGTTATTATGATATTGTCATTGGGGATATTACAATTACTGCTACACGAAGAAAATTAGTTGCTTTTTCTAATGCTATATTTGATAATTCTTTACGTATTCTTATGCGAAAAACACCTGATGTCACTGTTGAATTATTATCATTTT